CCTGGGTGGCTCAGTTGGTTAAGTGTCTGCTTTTGGCTCAGGTCATTATCGCCGGGGTGCTGGGATTGAGCCCCACATCAGGCTCCCTGCTCACCAGGGCCTCTATTCTTCCCTCTCCTTATGCCCCTCCCCACACTTGTGCACGCTCTCTCCCTCTCTCTCAAATAGATAAATAAAATCTTTTTTAAAAATTAAGAAATGGGAAGAAGACATGAACAGACATTTCTCCAAAGAAGACATACAAATGGCTAACAGACACATGAAAAAATGCTAAATATCACTCAGCATCAGGGAAATATAAATGAAAACCACAATGAGGTATCACCCTATACCAGTCAAAATGGCTAAAGTTAACAAATCAGGAAATAACAGATGTTGGTGAGGATGTGCTAAAAGGGGAACCCTCTTACACTGTTCATGGGAATGCAATCTGGTGCAGTCACTCTGGAAAACAGTATGGAGGTTCCTCAAAAAGTTAAAAATAGAGCTACCCTATGACCCAGCAATTGCACTACTAGATATTTATCCAAAGGACACAAACATAATGATTTGAAGGGGCACCTGCACCTCAATGTTTATAGCAGCAATGTCCACAGCAGCCAAAATATGGAAAGAACCCAGATGTCTATCCACTGATGAATCAATAAAAAAGATGTGGTATGTATATATATACAATGGAATATTACTCAGCAATCAAAAAAATGAAATTTTACCATTTGCAGTAACATAGATGGAACTAGAGGATATTATCCCAACTGAAATAAGTCAATCAGAGAAAAACAATGATCTTATGATTTCATTCACACATGGAATTTAAGTAACAAAACAGAGGACCATAGGAGAAGGGTGGGAAAAATAAAATAAGATGAAATCAGAGAGGGAGACAAACTATAAGAGACTCTGATCTCTAGGAAACTGAGGGTTGCTGGAGGAGAGGTGGGTGGGAGATGGGGTAACTGGGTGATGGGCATTAAGGAGGGCACTTGATATAATGAGCACTGGGTGTTATATGCAACTGATGAATCACTAAACTCTACCTCTGAAACAAATAATACACCAGATGTTAATTAATTGAATTTGAGTGAAATAAAATTAAAATTTAAAAAATAAATAAATAAATGTAAAGTTTGAGCAAGGACTCATTGTTTCAAGGAGAAAATTATAGAAATGAGATTCAGATGGCTGTTGTGAGAATCACAGCTTATGACTGCAGTTTAGATGAAGTGTGTCTCCTTTGGGTTTCGTTTTGTGTTTCATTCCATGGCTATCCTTGAGAGAATTGTCATGACTAACCCTGGCTGAACACTTACTTCGCACCAGGCACTGTTCTCAGTACCTACCATGTATTAACTCAGTTAATCCCCATAACAACCCTAGGAGATAGTATCTACTACTATGCCCATTTTATAGAAAAAGAAAGTGAGGGACAGAGATTAAGCAAATTGCCCAAGATCACACAGCTTGCAAGGGGCAGAAACAGGATTCAAACCCAGGCAGTCTGACACCCCAGGGGCTTAACAACAATATCCTACCACCTCTGTGGAGGTAAGAAAATAAAATGATGAAATGCCCAGCATAGAAGATTTCAGCAATCCATGCCATCTTCATGGGGAGGAAAATGTAACCAGCAGACCCTGGGTCATTTCACCACAAGATCCAACATGGAGCTAAGAAAGACCAAAATAGTAAGATAACAACAAGATGATACATCTGTGTTCCCAAGTCCTCAACTAAGTTGAGTTCCTCTTGAAGCTGGTTCTGGGATCAACCCAGGAAGGTCAGGACTAGAGAGGGATCTAAGCCTGGTAAGGGCTGGAGTGGGAGCTCAGTCCTCTCTGCATGAAGGACACTAAGAGGCCCCAGTGGAGTCTGAGGGATGTGAGCAAATACCTGCTCACACCTCATCCTCTCTCAGCATCTCTGAAGGCAGGTATTACTGTACCTACTTACAACAGGAACTGTGGAAAGGGCCTGCAATAGGACCCATTGTACCTACTAAGGGAGGCAAGGAGGTTAAGTGATTTGTTCAGGATCACACAGCTAGTAAATGGCAGATCTAGGATTGTACCTAGGGCTGTTTCTCTCATTCTACCACAAAATCTCTCCCCAAACCTCTCTCAGGATAAGGATCACCTGGGATGCTTGTTAAAATTCTTTTTCAGGCCCACTCCACTAAATCAGAATGTCCAAAGGAGGGCCTAAACATTCATTGTTTTTTTTTTTAAGATTTTTTTTTTTTTTTTTTTTTTTGGACAGATCACAAGTAGGCAGAGAGGCAGGCAGAGAGAGAGAGGAGGAGGAGGCAGGCTCCCTGCTGAGCAGAAAGCCCGATGCGGGACTCGATCCCAGGACCCTGAGATCATGACCTGAGCCGAAGGCAGAGGCTTTAACCACTGCGCCACCCAGGCGCCCCTAAACATTCATTTTTATAACAATGCCCTTCTCCATTTTAATCAAGAGGTAAGTCTGGGGAGTTATGCCATAGGGTTAAAACCCCCATTTTAAAAAAGAGAAGTTCCAAATGGATTAGGCTTCTTTTTTCCCTTTCAGTTCTCAGACACCAAAGAATATGTATCCAAACCAAGTGATACATAAATAGTGCAATTTTAATCTGAACTATGTGACATGTAATGGCCTGTGAGGTAGAGGGAAGGAAAAAATGTTGGACAGGAGCCTCACCCCACCACTTTCAAACCAGTGACCTTACATCTAATCTATAAAATGCAGAAATGAAATAGTGTAATATAGGAAAAGGTATTTAGGTAAATGTAAAGATTTTATAATTGAAAGGAGCTCATCTGTTTTATCCTAATCAATGAACATAAACATTACAGCAACAATGTTTTAACAATGCTCTCTAATTAAACACTGCAGTCTCTAGTCCTCACTAAATAATGATTAATTCTTTCATTTACTGGGTCTGTTCAACATGCCAGTCATGGCTCTGGACACTAGAGATATGGCATGGACAGTCAGGCTTAAGTAGTGTCTACCTTCATAGTGGAATCCACAGAGTAAACAACTAAACACAATAATGACAGATTACATAGAAAAGGGAAGAAACAGAACAATGGTGTAGTGAGTGGCTGGAGTTGGGGAAGGCCTCTCTGAGGAGGTGACATCCCAATCGACTTAAGGGTGAAAAGGAACCCATCCTGTGATGAGCCAAAGAACATTCCACTCAGTGGAACAGCAGTGCAAAGTTCTGGGGTAGGAAAGCACTCCAAAGAACAGGCAGAGGGCCAACAAAGCACAAGGTGAGCCCTGGGAGAGACTGCGTGGGGCCTTACAGACCACGTTCAAGTCTAGATTTTATTCCAAGTGTGATGAAAAGTCCTTGGAAGTTTGAAGCAAGGAAGTGACTTAATCTGATTTTTAAGCCTTACTCTGACTTTTGAGGAGAGAACAAACTTTAAGAGGACAAGAATGATAGTAGGAGACCAGTTGAGGCTTCTGCAGTGGTCCATGTATGCTGGTGGCTTGGACCAGGTAGTAACAGGGGTGGGATAGGTGGGCAATGAAAGGAATCAGAGTAACTAACCGGACTTGCCAGTGGGTTGGATGTAGCTACAAGAGAAAAAAGAGCCAGCTCAGTCTGGCAGCACCTCTCCTGATACCCCAGCTCCTGGAGCTTGAAGACAAAAGATTTTAGGCATCCTGGTTGCTGGATTCTGGCACCTACCAAAGAGACTCATTCTGTGCATTCCAGACAGTGGGACTCCACCCAGGCTCACTAAGGAGATGAATTAAAAAGGAAGGTGGTTGAGAAGCACTCTCTGTCACACATGACCTAAGATGAAAAGCTCTGAAAGAATTGATGGAAAAATGTCTTGCTTAAGTAAAACTTCACAGGGGGAGGAGGGTAGAAATATCCCTTTACAAATGGGGCCTCTTAGTTTTTTCTTGAATGAGCTCATTTTTTTAAATTTTTTAAATTTATTTTCAGCGTAACAGTATTCATTGTTTTTGCACCACACCCCGTGCTCCATGCAATCCGTGCCCTCTCCATTACCCACCACCTGGTTCCCCCAATCTCCCACCCCCCGCCCCTTCAAAACCCTCAGATTGTTTTTCAGAGTCCATAGTCTCTCATGGTTCACCTCCCCTTCCAATTTCCCTCAACTCCCTTCTCCTCTCCAACTCCCCTTGTCCTCCATGCTATTTGTTATGCTCCACAAATATGTGAAACCATATGATAATTGACTCTCTCTGCTTGACTTATTTCACTCAGCATAATCTCTTCCAGTCCCATGCATGTTGCTACAAAAGTTGGGTATTCATCCTTTCTGATGGAGGCATAATACCCCATAGTGTATATGGACCACATCTTCCTTATCCATTTGTCCGTTGAAGGGCATCTTGGTTCTTTCCACAGTTTGGCGACCATAGCCATTGCTGCTATAAACATTGGGGTACAGATGGCCCTTCTTTTCACTACATCTGTATCTTTGGGGTAAATACCCAGTAGTGCAATTGCAGGGTCATAGGGAAGCTCTATTTTTAATTTCTTGAGGAATCTACACACTGTTCTCCAAAGTGGCTGCACCAACTTGCATTCCCACCAACAGTGTAAGAGGGTTCCCCTTTCTCCACATCCCCTCCAACACATGTTGTTTCCTGTCTTGCTAAATTTGGTGCTTGCTAATTCTAACTGGTGTAAGGTGGTATCTCAATGTGGTTTTAATTTGAATCTCCCTGATGGCTAGTGATGATGAACATTTTTTCATGTGTTTGATAGCCATTTGTATGTCTTCATTGGAGAAGTGTCTGTTCATATCTTCTGCCCTGAATGAGCTCATTTTTGCCCAGCATTTACTCTTCCCCCTAGACCTGGGACTGTAGGATAAGGGAGGCCTGGGACAGAGAGCCTCTCAGGGGATAGGGAGGAGAAGCAGGGGAGGGGAGGGTGGGATGGAGACATGCTGGGCCATGGCAAATGCAGGAGGAATGCCTGGACTATTCTTCTCATCACCTTTGCCTTTCTTTGTGTCTGTGTCTAGGAGTGACTGTGCAAGCCCTTTCCACAGTTCCTGTCATGTTTAGTTACTGGGTAAGTGTGAAAACTTAAACGGTCTCATTGGTTGGTGAAGGCTCATGTTCAGCTCACTAGTGAGTGGACAGATGCCTCAAGTCTTGACATTATCTCCCCCCCAACTCTCCTCCCCTTTAGAGATCACCAGGGATCCCCAGATTTGCATACTGCAGTGTCCATTCCCAGGCATTCTTCCTAGTCATGTTCTTGCTCTAGACCCGCACAGTCCAGCCAGGAGTCACAGGTCAACGTGTGACTCACATTACATTTCCACTGAACAGGGTACTTCTAGACTCAACCTGAATTCCTTCAGAACTTACCTGTCTCATGATTCATTCCTGCAGTGCCTTGCTCATTCACTGACAAGCCAGTTTATTCTGAGATGATAATGACCAAAAAGTGAGAACAATAATAATGGCTTGATATGCTGGCTCTCTGGGGAAAATACACAATTCAAAATGGGATTGTTGCTCTTGGATGCCTCTCCCCAACAGATTAAATCTCTAGCACTGAGCTTCAGGCATGATCACAGGCTGTGGGAGGTCACAGCTGGGGATGCACTAAGTATCTGCTCAAGCAAGTGAAGATTCATTTGTGTGGTGATTTAAGGAGTAATGGAAATATCACCTGCTCACACGGACTTTCCCCACCCATGCTCATATTCCACTATTAATGCTTCAGTCTTTAGCTGTTCCTGCGATTAGACTCATTTTTTAATTTTTTTTTATTTTTTATTTTTGAGAGAGAGAGAGAGTGCAAAGAGTGGGGAGGAGCAGGGGGAAAGGGAGAAAGAATCCCAAGCAGACTCCCCACTGAGCGCAGAGGCCAAGGATGGCTCCATCTCATGATGTTGAGATCATGACCTGAGCTGAAATCAAGACTTGGGAGCTTAACAAACTGAGTTACCCAGGCACTTCTAGACTCAATTGTTTTTTTAATTTAAAAAACTCTAAGACTTCAATATGTGAAAATTTATCAAAGTGTCTACTATTTTGACTGAACAGCTGGAATTTCTGGAGAGTACCAAATGCCTGCCAGTGGAGGTGGGGTGGAGTTGAAAGAAATAGTAAGGAAAGAAGAGTTAGGAGGGGCAAGATGGCAGAGAAGTAGGAGACCCTATTTCAACCCATCCTGAAGTGAGCTAAATATCTACCAGAACACTCTGAACACCCATGAAATCAGCCTGAGATGTAAGATTATACACTTCTGGATCTCTATGGGGGCAGGAAATCATCAGTGGAGAGGTAAAATGGAGGGGAATGCTCAGACTGATATCGAAGGATAAACAGAAGGGGGAAGGAGCCACCAGAAGAGACTCACTGGAAAGTAATACCCCAGTACGAAATTACCCTGTGCTTGGGGACCAGCATTAACCTGGAGTCTGCTTAAAAGCACTCAAAAAGAGCAAAATTTCTTAAAGGGCAACTGTGGAATTGGGTGGCCATGGGCACAGTCCTAACCCATGGACCCAGGATGGCCAGTGCCTGTGACCACCCATGCCAGAGAGAGTGCAGCACAGCCCCCAGTCCATGATCCCTGAGCCTCTGGCTTTCCACTGCTTGTGCCACTGCTTGGCTGGGCGCACTCCCACCCGCACGTGAGAGAGCCTGGTGTGGGCACCAGCCAGCAGTCTCTAGGTCCGCAGCCTTCCACCACCTGCCTGTGGGAAGTTGCAGTGTTCAGCGGAGTTTGCAGAGGGGGAGTCTGTGTGTTCTGGATGATCCAGGGGGGAGCAGACTGAGGCTTCTCTCTGAGATCAAGAACTATGTGTGGACAGTTTACTTTTTGCACTAGCCCTCTGAAAAGCTGCAAAAAGCTGCCCAAGAACAAAAACCTCAAGTACAAAAACCTGAAAAACCCAGTTTCCCCAGAGCCCAGCCACTTGATAGGGGGCAGGGTGACTCAGCCAAAGCAAGACCCACTGAAAAACAACGCAGCATGTCCCTCCCCAAGAAGACAAGCTAAAAGAACAAGAGGACAATAACCACAGGGTCCCCACAAAACTGTAAAACCCCAATATCAGGGGAAAACAGTATATTAAGTCACCGGTATTGCCCCCAAACCTGTATATTTCATAGATACAACTTTTCTTTTTAATTAGTTCTCACGGTTCATCTTATTTTTTTAACCTACTCACCATTACAACTAGATATTTAATACTACATATAGCATAATAACTTTTTTTTGTTTTTACATAATAACTTTTTTCTTAACATAATAACTTTTTAACTTGAGCTTTTTTCATATATATACCTGGCGTTTTTGTTTTATTTTGTTTTTTTCTAAATATAAATAGGTATAAACTTCAAGGTAATCCTTTTTCCCTATTTGATACTACCCCTATATATAAGACAGTTTTAATTTCCCTGTATCTCTGGGAAGTTGAGTCCTTTAACAAAGATAACAAGATACACCCACATCAAGGGTTTATAACCACCTTCCCATCTTATTCTTCTGTCAGTGTTTCTGTGCACTTGTTTTTGTTTTTGCACTGTATAAATTTATTCTTGTGGTTCATTTTGGGTGGGTTTTTCTTTTCTTTTTTTTTTTTTTCTTTCTTGTCTCTTACTTTTGGCAGTCTTCTTGTTTCTTCGTTTTTGGTTTATATACCTTATAAACCTTACTTTTGGAACTCATTTTGGCTGAGTTTTTTTTTCCTTTTTCTCTTTCTTTTTTCCTTTTTTCTTTCTTTTTGGTGATGACTTTCCATTGTTCCAAAACTTTCCAAAGGGGCACCTTGACTGTATCATGGTTGATATATTCCACTATACATCACCTCAACCACCTCTCACAAAAATGACTAGGAAGATGAACACCCAACAGAGGAAAAATTCAGAGACTTTGACCTCTGCCACAGAACTACTGGATATGGACATAAACAATATGTTGGAAATGGAATCTAGGGTAAAAATTGTCCAGGCAATGGCTAGGTTGGAGAAGACCATTAGTGGCAACATAGAATCTCTAAGGGGGAAGTGAGAGGCAACCTAGCAGAAGTTTAAAATGCTATCAAAGAGATCCAATCTAATCTAAATACTTTAACAGCTAGGGTAACCAAGGCAGAAGATCGGATTAGTGATCTAGAAGACAGAAGATAGAAAAGCAGGATCAGGAGGAGGCCTGGAACAAACAACTTAAAAGCCGTGAAAACAGAATTAGGGAAATAAGTAACACAACAAAACGTTCCAATGTCAGAATTATTGGGATCCCTGAGGGGGTGGAGAAAGAGAAGACTAGAAGATATAGTTGAACAAATACTGGATGAAAATTTCCCTATTCTGGGGAATGGAACAAGTGTGTGTGTCCTAGAGACAGGAGGACACCCCCCAAGATCAACGAGTCTAGAAAAACCTCCAGACACTTAATTGTGAGATTCACAAATCATAAATTCAGACAGGAGGTCTTAAGGGCAGCTGGGGGAAGAGATTCTTTACGTACAGATGAAGAACCATCAGAATAACATCAGATCTGTCCACAGAAACCTGGCAAGCCAGAAAGGGCTGGCAAGACATATTCAGGGCACTAAATGAGAAGAATATTCAGCCAAGAATACTTTATCCACCAAGGCTGACATTCAAAATGGAAGGAGAAATAAAGAGCTTCCACAACTGGCAAGGTCTAAAACATTATGTGACCACCAAGCCAGCAGTGTAAGAAATACTAAGGGGTGGTTCTATAAAAGAAGAAAGAACCCAAGAGTGACAGAACAGAAAGTTACAGAGACAATGTATAGAAATAAGGACTTCACAGGCAACATGATGTCAATAAAAACTTATCTTTCAATAATCATTCTCAATGTGAACAGCATAAATGCTCCCATAAAAAAGCATAGGGCTGCAGACTGGATAAAACAACAGGACCCATCCATATGCTGTCTCCAAGATACATATTTTTTTTTTAATTTATTTATTTGTCAGAGAGAGAGAGGGAGAGAGAGCAAGCACAGGCAGACAGAATGGCAGGCAGAGGCAGAGGGAGAAGCAGGCTCCCCAATGAGCAAGGAGCCCCATGTGGGACTCGATCCCAGGACGCTGGGATCATGACCTGAGCCTAAGGCAGCTGCTTAACCAACTGAGCCACCCAGGCGTCCCCCCAAGATACATATTTTTAAACCTAAACATACATCCAGACTGAAAGTGAAGGGATGGAGAACCATCTTTCATGGCAATGGGCCTCAAAAGAAAGCTTGGGTAGTGATTCTCATATCAGATAAATTAGATTTTTAGCTAAAGACTGTAGTCAGAGATACAGAAGGACATTACATCATTCTTTTTATTTATTTATTTATTTGACAGAGACACAGTGAGATAGGGAACACAAGCAAGAGGGGTGAGAGAGGGAGAAGCAGGCCTCCCACAGAGCAGGGAACCCAATGTGGGGCTCAATCCCAGGACCCCGGGACCATGCCCTGAGCCGAAGGCAGATGCCCAACGACTGAGCCACCAAGAAGATCTAACAATTGTAAATATTTATATCCCCAATATGGGAGCAGTCAACTATATAAGACAACTGTTAAACAAAATAAACAGTCATATTGATATGAATACATTAATTGTAGGGGATCTTAACATGCCCTCAGCAATAGACAGACCATCTAAGCAGAAAATCAACAAAGAAACAAGAGCTTTGATTGACACATTGGACCAGATGGACCTCATAGATATATACAGAACATTCCACCCTAAAGCAACAGAATAGTCATTCTTCTCGAGCACACACGGAACTTTCTCTAGAATAGACCACATACTGGGTCACAAATCAGGGTTCAACCAATACCAAAAGATTGAGATTATTCCCTGCATATTCTCAGACCACAATGCTTTGAAACTGGAACTCAACCACAAGAAATTCAAACACTTGGAAGCTAAGACCACCCTGCTTAAGAATGTTTGGATCAACCAGTAAATCAAAGAAGAACTTAAACAATTCATGGAAACCAACAAGAATGAAGACACTTCGGTCCAAAACCTATGGTTATGGCAAAGGTGGTCCTAATGGGAAATACATAGCCATCCAAACCTCACTCAAAAAAGCTGAAATATCCCGAATACACCAACTCTCTTTACACCTTAAAGATCTGGGAAATTAGCAACAAATTAAGCCAACCCCATGCACAAGAAGGGATTAGTTAAGATTAGAGCAGAGATCAATGAGTTAGAAACTAGAGATACAGTAGAACACATCAACAAAACTAGAAGTTGGTTCTTTGAAAGAATTAATAAGATCAATAAACCACTGGCCAAACTAATCCAAAAGAAAAGAGAGAGGAACCGGGGCGCCTGGGTGGCTCAGTGGGTTGGGGCCTCTGCTTTCGGCTCAGGTCATGATCCCAGGGTCCTGGGATCGAGCCCCGCGTCGGGCTCTCTGCTTGGCAGGGAGCCTGCTTCCTCCTCTCTCTGCCTGCCTCTGCCTACTTGTGATCTCTGTCTGTCAAATGAAATGAATAAAATCTTTAAAAAAAAAAAAAAAAGAGAGAGGAACCAAATTAATAAAATTATGAATGAAAGGGGAGGGATCACAACTAACACTGAGGAAATAGAAACAATCATCAGAAATTATTATCAACAATTATATGCCAATAAGTTAAGCAACCTAGAAGAAATGGATACATTCCTGGAAACCTATAAACTACCAAGACTGAAACAGGAAGAAATTGACAACCTGAATAGACCAATATCTAGTAATGAGATTGAAGCAGTGATCAAAAACCTCCCAAAAAATAAGAGCCCAGGACCTGACGGATTCCCTGGGGAATTCTACCAAACATCCAAAGAAGAAATAATACCTAGTCTCCTGAAGCTGTTTCAAAAAATAGAAACAGAGGGAAAATTTCCAGACTTTATGAAGCCAGCATTACCTTGATCCCCAAACCAGGCAAAGACCCCATCAAAAAGGAGAATTTCAGACCAATATCCCTGATGAATATGGATGCCAAGATTCTCAACAAGATCCTAGTGAACAGGATCCAAGAGTACATTAAAAAGCTTATCTACCATGACCAGGTGGGATTTATCCCTGGGATGCAACGGTGGTTCAACATTCATAAATCAATCAATGTGGTAGAACAAATCAATAAGAGAAGAGAGAAGAACCACGTGGTCCTCTCAATTGATGCAGAGAAAGAATTTGACAAAACACAGCACCCTGTTTCTGATTAAAATGCTTCAAGGTATAGGGGTAGAGAGAACATTCCTCAATTTCATCAACTCTATCTATGAAAAACCCACAGTGAATATCAGTCCTCAATGGGAAAAAGCTGACAGCCTTCCCTTTGAGATCAGGAACACAACAAAGATGCCCACTCTCCATACTCTTGTTCAACATAGTATTAGAAGTCCTAGCAACAGCAAACAGACAACAAAGAGAAATAAAAGGTATTCAAATTGGCAATTTGAATTCAAATTGGTACAATTGAAAACAAATTGTTACAATTGTTATCACAATTGCCAAGAGGTAAAGGACCTGTACCTGAGGAACTACAGAACACTCATGAAAGAAATTGAAGAAAACACAAAAAGATGGAAAAGCATCCCATATTCACGTATTGGAAGAATAAACACTGTTAAAATGTCTATACTGCCCAGAGCAATCTATATTTTCAATGCCATCCTGATCAAAATTCCACTGGCATTCTTCAAAGTGCTGGAACAACAATCCTAAAATTTGTATGGAAACTGAAAAGACCCTGAATCACTAAGAAAATGTTGAAAAATAAACACAAAGCTGGGGGCATCATGTTGCCTGATTTCAAGCTTTACTGCAAAGCTCTGATCACCGGGGCACCTGGGTGGCTCAGTGGGTTAAAGCCTCTGCCTTCGGCTTGGGATCAAGCCCCGCATCAGGCTCTCTGCTCAGTGGGGAGTCTGCTTCCCCCTCTCTCTCTCTGCCTGCCTCTCTGCCTACTTGTGATCTGTCTGTCAAATAAATAAATAAAATCTTTAAAAAAAAAAAAAAAGCTGTGATCACCAAGACAGTATGGTACTGGCACAAAAACAGACACATAGACCAAAGGAACAGAATAGAAAGTCCATATATGGACCCTCAACTCTATGGTCAAATAATCTTTGACAAAGCAGGGAAAAATATCCAGTGGAAACAAGACAGTCTCTTCAATAAATGGTGCTGGGAAAATTGGACATCTATGTATAGAAGAATGAAACCCGACCATTCTCTCACACCATACACAAAGATAAACTCGAAAGGGATGAAAGACCTCAACGTGAGGCAGGAATCTATTTAAATCCTAGAGGAGAACATGGGCAGTAACCTCTTTGACATCGGTCACAGCAACTTCTTTCAAGACACGTCTCCAAAAACAAAGAAAACAAAAGCGAAAATGAACTTTTGGGACTTCATCAAGATAAAAAGCTTCTGCACAGCAAAGGAAACAGTCAACAAAACAAAAAGGCAACCCACAGAATGGAAGAAGATACTCACAAATGACACTACAAAGGGTTGATATCCAAGATCTATAAAGAACTCCTCAAACCCAACACACATGAAACAGATAATCATGTCAAAAAATGGGCAGAAGACATGAACAGACACTTCTCCAAAGAAGACATACAAATGTTTAAGACACATGAAAAAATGTTCATCATCACTAGCCATCAGGGAAATTCAAATCAAAACCACATTGACATACCAGTTAGAATGGCCAAAATCAACAGGGCAGGAAACAAGTGTTGGAGAGGATGTGAAGAATGGGGAACCCTCTTACATTGTTGGTGGGAATGCAAGTTGGTACAGCCACTTTGGTGAACAGTGTGGAGATTCCTCAAGAAATTAAAACTAGAGCTAACCTATGACTCTGCAATTGCACTACCGGGTATTTACCCCAAAGATACAGATGTAGTGAAAAGAAGGACCACAGGTACCCCAATGTTCATAGCAGCAATGTCCACAATTGCCAAACTGTGGAAAGAGCCGAGATGCCCTTCAACAGACGAACTGATAAAGAAGATGTGGTCCATGTATACAATGGAATATTACTCAGTCATCAGAAAAGATGAATACCCAACTTTTGAATCAACATGGACGGCACTAAAGGAGATTATGCTGAGTGAAGTAAGTCAAGCAGAGAAAGTCAATTATCATATGGTTTCATTTACTTGTGGAGCATAAGGAATAACATGGAGGACATTAGGAGAAGGAAAGGAAAAGAGAATTGGGGTAAACCAGAGGGGGAGATGAAAGATGAGAGACTGTGGATTCTGAGAAACAAACTGAGGGTTATGGAGGGGAGGGAGTTGGGGGGATGGATGAGCCTGGTGGTGGGCATTAAGGAGGGCACATATCGCATGGAGCACTAGGTGTGATGCATAAACAATGAATCTTGGAACATGTAAAAATAAAATAAAATTAAGATGTAAAAAAATTAAAATTAACATTAAAAAGAAGGGAGAGTTAGGGGAACAGAAAGAGAAGCTTTCTGTATCAATATTTTGCTAAGGTAACTCTTGAGTGTCGCAGCCAGCAGAAAGGACAGGGAGGAACACAGGAACAGGAGGGGTCCATAAACAGTCTGGCATCCCATGATGAGGCATGACAAGGAAGTGAGCTGCTGGTGATGCCGGACACTCAATAGGCCCAGTCCCCTGTGTGCGGGAGCTGTAACACTCCGCACCGCCTTGCTGGCCCCCTGGGTGTCCCGGGATGGGTGGGAGGGTGTGGTCCACCCTCCTTCCAACTCTACTATAGGATGACTGGCCCAGTAATTGTGTCCATCCCTTCTGATTATAACTTCCATTTTTCTAATTAATCAGCAATATACTAGCAGTTTTCTTTACTTTTGCAGTGATTGGCTTTTGGTCTCCTGTAGTCAGGGGCCATTTCATCTGTGCCCCAGCTTGCTGAGGAGTAAAAGCAATGGACAGTGACAAATGATTCAGCCCAGGTGGTGGTGTTAGAGTAAATATCTAAAGAAGTAGGTTATGAATGATATGATCTTCCCTTACCTGTCTCCACCAGGCCAAACCTCAGGACACTCTAGATCTGTGCCAGCTTTTAAACAATGACTTGGCTGCCACTGTTGCGAACCACCCCAAGAGGTTTGTGGGCCTGGGCACATTGCCCATGCAGGCCCCTGAGCTTGCTGTTAAGGAGATGGAGCGCTGTGTAAAGGAGCTGGGCTTTCCGGGGGTCCAGATCGGCTCCCACATCAACGAGTGGGACCTGAACGCACCGGAACTCTTCCCTGTCTATGCCGTGAGTATGCGGGGATACCCCAGCCAGCATGCGGCAGAGCCAGGCACGGTGCTGGGTGCTGGAGGGCAGAATAGGAATATGTCACCTCCCTGGCAGGGGGGAAGAAAGATGCCTGATGACATGCTGCATATAGCAGGAAATATGGAAAGAGTTCTCCAAAAGGAGTGGGCAATACCACTAGAAGAGAGACAGGTGGAAATGTTTCATAGGCCAGCCCGGAGTTAGCCAGGGAAATCTCTCTTCCTTTCCATCCCCCATGCTCCCTTTCTACCCTTTCATCTGGACGCTGAAATATTACCCTCATCCCAGCCATAGTACAAAAGGCCATATTAGTGACACGCAAAGAAAAAAAAAAGTATTTATTTTGCTTTAGAAAAAAAATACTTATCTTTCAAAATCATGAAGTTGTTTTCCAGGTGCCTGAGTGGCTCAGTCAGTTAAACACCTGCCTTCAGCTCAGGGCATGATCCCAGAGTTCTGGAATCCAGTCCCCCATCAGGCTTAAGCGGGGAGTCTGCCTTTCCCTCTCTCTCTCCATCTGCTTCTCCCCCAGCTCATCCTCTCTCTTGTTCTTTCTCTCAAATGAATACATAAAATATTTTTTAAAAAATTATGAAGGGATTTTGAAGAAATTCTGGAAAATACAGAAAAGCATAAAAAGGAAAACAAAAATAACTCATAATCCCACTACCCAAAGATAATCACTGTTATTATATATTTATTTTGTTTGCATGTTTCTGCATATATCTATATTTTAATGAAATCTGAATTCTATTATACATGTGATTTCATATCCTAATGAAGAATTTCTAATCCAAATGAAAATCTCTTAATGCATGAATTTTAAATAACTGCCTAATATTCCAATATATGGATATGTTTTGATTTATTTAACCAGTCCTCAATTAATATACTCTTTATGCCATGTATTTTGAAAATGTATAATTAAAACATGTAACAAAAACAATGCCATCAAAATATTTGGTGAAACTAGCTGGTGAGTATATGGAAGTTCATGGTACCATTGTTTACAACTTTCTACATTTGAAATATTGCGTTATAAAGTATATTTTCAGGAATTCAGTGCCATTTTCATCTTCCAAGTATCCAAATTAAGTGTCCACAGTCCCATGGTCCTCTCCACCAGTCCTCCTCAGCCCTTCTGTTCTTTCTGCAACTAAGCATGCTTTTCTTCATATCAGGAATCAAGATGCATAATTCTACATTCAATTGCATTTTTTATTTCTTTCTTTATTTCTAGAACGTTAATAGTATTGCTTTCTATTATTTTCATTGTAAATGCAAAATCTTCAATAGTGAATTAAATAGATGTTGGTGGGGATGCCTGGTGGCTCAGTCAGTTAAGCGTCTGCCTTCAGATCATGATCCCTGGATCTTGGGATCAAGTCCCACATCAGGCTCTCTGCTTAGGGAGGACTGCTTCTCCCTCTGCCTGCCTTTCCGCCTGCTTGTGCTCTCTCTCTCTCTCTCTCTCTCACTAACAAATAATTAAACAAAATCTTTAAAAATAATTTTAGAGGCACCTGGGTGGCTCAGTGGGTTAAGCTTCTGCCTTTGGCTCAGGTCATGATCTCAGGGTCCTGGGCTCAAGCCCCGTATTGGGCTCTTGGCTTGGCAGGGAGCCTGCTTCCCCTTTTCTCTCTGCCTGCCTCTCTGCCTACTTGTGATCTCTCTCTCTCTGTCAAATAAATAAATAAAATCCTAAAAAAAAATAACAATTTTAAAAAATAATAAATAAATAGATGTCGGCGTACTGCCCAGCACTATAACCACAGATCATTTATTTGTGTTTATTGAGCTCTGCCTACATGCAAAAATGTTTCCATGTTGGGCACCTGGGTGGCTCAGTTGGTTAAGCAACTGCCTTCGGCTCAGGTCATGATCCTGGCGTCCCAGGCTCAGGTCATGATCCTGGCGTCCCAGGCTCAGCGGGGAGTCTGCTTCTTCCTCTCCCCTTTCATGCTCTCTCTCACTCTCTCTCAAATAAATAAATAGAATCTTTCCATGTTTATATCTATGGACACTGCCCACCAGTTAGGGTGTTACCTGTTAAATTGCCTCCCAATAACCTAAAAGATTTAATGTTCCTCTAAATATTGAACTCCCTGAAGCTTACTGGCTGCAGGGACTGAGGTGAGGCAGTGAATGTTTTCTAGAAACTTTAATGGGCTTTGAAAGAGGATTTATTTACTTGTGCATCCAAGTTGTTTCAGCACAATGTGAGCAAGCCTTCAGCTGCAAATCATTTTATTATTCACTGGGATTGGGTTTATGAATTACTAAGGAGCTCAAAAAGCAAGAGCAGTCAGTTGTGGTTCAAATGGATATTTTCATTTGTATGACTCGCTCAACCAATCACTCATTCTAAATAGGCTGTTTTGGGGGCTGCTGATCTCTCAGGGAATTCAGGAGAGTATCCTGACCCCAGCAGATCTGTGATATCCTGGAGCTGGCAGCACATTCATTCGACTAGCAAGACTTGACAGCCTCACTAGTCTCTAGCTTGCATCAATAACATGGCTAAAACAAATGACAGGAGTTACCATGAATCAAGTTGTCTTTGTCATTTCAAGGGAGCCTGGACCTCCAACGTGTCTAGCCAACTCCTTTATTTCCTAGACCTCCCTCGTTAGTGAGTGAACCCAACCATACATGCTCAGGTCAGTTTTCAGGCACAAAAATGTCCTTATTACAAGTATGAGACACACAGACTAGCAGTGGCAGACTGCCTGCCTCTACCATGTATCAGACGCAAGACCTGAGTAATTTACCTAGCCTCTAACTGCCTTAGTGTCTTTCTCTGCAAAATCAGAGTAATAAAAAGGCTCATCTCAGAAAGTATTATGCTAAGTGAAACAAGTCAGAGACAAATAAATACCATATGATTTCACTTATATGTGGGATCTAAAAGAAAAATAAACAAAGACAGTGATATACCCAATGGACACAGAGAGCAAACCAGCGCCTACCAAGGGGATGGGCAAAATGGGTAAACCGGAGTGGGGGGGATACTTGGCTTCCAGTTATGAAATACGTAAGTCACAAAGATGAACGGTCCAGCATAGGGAATAAAATCAATACCGTAATGGTGCTGTATGGTGACAGATGGCAGCTTCCCTTGTGTAAGCACAGCATAAGGTAGAGTTGTCAAATCACCATGCTCTACACCTGAAAGTAATGGAACATTGTGTGTCACCTATATTTCAATTTTTAAAAGTGCTCATCTTATAAAGGATTAAACTAGTCAACAATTATAAAATTCTTATAACAGCTTTGGCATATGGTAAATTCTCTGTTAATATGAGTTATCACAATTTTGAGAGTTTAGGTGACTTCTTTTTGTGTTCTCTACATACAGAAGGGATCAAGAGTATTTACTAATTTGAATTGAAGAGAAATGCACCATCACAGGTGCATAGAATAACATTTTATCCTAATAAGGAGTCAAATCCCACTGAGATACCATGATTTTGTGCCTTTGTCAACCCCAACCCATCCCAAGAAGTTAACTCTGCCTGCATCCATTATCAGAAATGAATTACCTCCTCTCCCTTCTGTCCCCAGAACCTGATGAAATTAGAAGTCCATTCTCCAATCTACCCTTTGTCTGCCACTTCCAGAATCTCTTGTTCTCCAATAATTGCATCTCATTTTTAAAATGCATATGTCCAGGGACAGGTGGATGCCTCAGTCAGTTAAGCACTGGGGTCTTGATTTTGGCTCAGGTCATGATCTTAGGGTTGTGAGATCAATTCCTGCATTGGGCTCAATTGCCTCTCTCCTTCTGCCTTCCTCCACCCTCTCCACTGCTCCCGCACTCTGCCAACTAGCACACCTCTCTCTCTTCTTTAAAAAAATAAATGAAATTTAAAACTAAAAATAAATAAAAATGTTTATGTCCAGAACTCATATTGCATCACCCTATTTAGCCCACATATTTATATGTAAAGGTAGAATGAATCACTCCAGCACCTCAATATATTTAGGTAAGAAATGAGTTAAGGAAAATTGGTTTTGAATCTTGTTAAGCACTCATACTCAATGCCCACTGAGGGAACTTTTTTCAAATTAAGTATTTTGTTGAATAAAAGTCATTCCATCCAGATAGGATTTCCAGTTCCCAGAAGGACCTGGAATAGGTTTGCCCATGACATTCATCGCAGTACCTGTGGGGCTGGAACTGAGAGCTCTTGACTTCCTGAAGGCATCTCATTCACAACAGACTGTTCAGGGACTCAGCTGGGCTCCTGAGGCTTTGTGAGTACCAGTAGACCCCCAGAAACTCCCAGCCAGTGTTGGGCTCTGTGTGACCAATGGCTTGGGTCAGGCTAGCCTGCTCCAGTCAAGTCACAGGCCTCTGGCCCCCACCTATCGCTTTTTCACTTTCACATCCTCAGGTTTCCAAGTGGGAGAAACAAGGGAACACTCTAGCCCTGACTCTAAGTGTACAATCTGAACAGTCCTCCTGAAAGAATGGATCAAGTAGGAACCAGCAGAGGAAACTTCCCCTGCATTTGAGGCATGGGATCAGTCCTTGAGCATTTTGCTCTCAACTACAACACTTGAATGCTGGATGTTTCCTGTGACTTGTTTTGCCAAAAATATTTTATATTCATTGACCTCCATGGTAAATCCACCAACTCCCTTGTTAATTCTAAGAGGCCTTCTTATTTTCTAAGCAGGAGCAGAATTTCTCAATGCTTTTTTAATATAGATTAAGAAACAATTTCAAATGTTTTAGCTTATTTATTCAGATCAATATAGACCCAGAGAAAAAGTCTCCCTAAAATAGTACCCTATATTTGCTGGTTCATCCAAATAACAGTCCTTCTCTCTCCCTCTCTCTCTCATTGCTTCTTTAAAGGTGGCTGAAAAGCTGAACTGTTCCCTATTTGTGCACCCCTGGGACATGCAGATGGATGGACGGATGGCCAAATACTGGCTCCCTTGGCTCGTAGGTTTGTATCAGCTTGGTTCTAAAAAAGAGGATCAAGTTTTTGGTTTTTTCCAATTATTTCTGGAACCCTTCTATGTCAAAAAGAGAAAGTATGAATAATTAACAGGATTGTGAGTTACTGAGCTCTTGGATAAATGCTATATATATTACTTCAATATATACATATCCACATAAAACTCTATGAGGATGACATTATAATAACCGTTTTACAGGGAAGAAACCGAGTCTCTGAGTGGTTAGATAAGTTGTCCAAGTAACACAGTTAATAAGTGAAAATGGAATTTACACAAATCTGTCTGACTCCAAAGCTACCTCACTACACAGACTCCCAAAAAAGCTCCAAAAATAAGTAACCATGCCTGCGTAATAGAATTTTTTAAAGAGCCAACAAGCTCTTGGGCACCTGGTTGGCTCAGTCAGCTAAGTGCCTGCCTTCAGTTCAGTTCATGATCCCAGGGTCCTGGCACTGTGCCCCACACTGGGCTCTCTGCTCAGCGAGGAGGAGACTGCTTCTCCTCTCCTCCTGCTGCCACTCCCCCTGCTTGGGCGTTCTCTCTCTCTCTCTCTCTCTCTCTGTCAAATAAAAAATAAAATCTTTAAAAAAAAAAAAAAAAGAAAAAGAGTATCAGCTCTTAAAATGAGAACGCTGGAGTTAACAAGTAGAAGGTCAACTCCCACCACCCTAGATTATAGATGACCCAGGCTTTCAATTTTTCTGTTATCTGTTCCTTTCTGCTGCTCTTTGTTCCTGCTCTATTCATTCATGATTCCACATGAAGGTAAAGGAGAGGATAAGAGGAGAGACCTCTGCTTGGCCTATCCAATCTCCTTATTACCCCTGATAAAGGAAATGGAGACAGGTGGCAATTCTGTGGTCACAGGTAAAAAGTACGGCTCATCTACAAATCCAGTAGTGGGTTTCCCAGTTGAACAGCCTTGGATTTTCTTTAGGGAGGCCATTATTCCATTCTCTCCACAGCCCAGTTAGTTAGTACAATCATAGTTAGTTATAACTAATCATAATTAGTACAAATGATAGTACTTGTATCATTAGTACAAGTAATGATAAAGTAACCAACATGAAGAACTAATGGAGCAGTATATTGGAGGTAAGAAAACTGAATTTCAGTTCCAGCTAGGCTCTAGTTCTCTGTATAACCTGTGGCAAATCACTTCACCTTTTCAGGCCCATTTCTTATGTGTAAAGTGGGAGAGCTGGTCTGCACTATCTTTCTGCTCTGGCATTTTGTGTCTCTCTGATTGTTTTTGGAGACCAATGTATTTAGTAAGGCAGCTTCCTACCCATCCTCCACCAGCTTTTTCAACAAGAATTAGCAGGAAGAGACAACCCTAAAAGGCACCAATGCTGTCCAGCTCCAAAGAAAAGCCATCCTAATTCAGACAACACTTTGACTAGTCCCACAAACTTATTTGTATTACAACTTCCCACATGAAAAACAGAAGAACATGTGCCTAAAGAGACATTTCATCATTCATTTATGCAACACATATATATTGATCCTTTCCAGCATGCCAGGCCCTGTACCAGGCAATGAGGACATTGACATGGACAAAACCTCTGCCTTCCTGAAGCCAATGATCTGGTTAGAAGAAAGAGATGACAAACAGAGACACAGTTTATAAACAAACAAACAAACAAAGGCTAATTTCAGAATTCTATTCTGGACACAAAAGTAGTCATCAGCCGATTGGAGGACTCCCAGTAAGGGAGGAACATGATGCAACTGACACTGTAAATATTCCACTTTGGTTCCTGTAAAGAGAATGGATTATGTAACTATGGTCCAAATAATTAATGGAGAGCAGAATCACAGGACCAAAAGGAAGTGACGCTTTCCATCCTCCTGCCTTCAGGAAGCTCTGCCCACAAACCAATGCCAGACAGATATGAATCTGTCACTCTTCCAGAATTCCTACAAGGCCAGGGAGTCAGACCATCTCTGTCCATAGAGCAATGACAGGCTTGGGGAAGGATGAGCATCTGGTAAATCCCCATTTGGCAGTCAGAGAGTAAGTATTCCCCTGAAGGTATAGGCTTACCTGTGGAGCCCCCAGAGATTTGTTGATAACAGTCTGAAAAGCAGTTGCCTGGAAATGTAACCCAGACTAACTTTGTGGAGGTGAAGGCACTAGGCATGGAACAGATGCTTCTTCGAGGGGCACAAAGCACTTGAAATAACTCATCTTTTTTTTTTTTAAGATTTTATTTATTTATTTGCCAGAGAGAAAGAGAGCACAAGCAGGGGGGAGTGGCAAGCAGAGAGAGAAGCAGATTCCTCAATGAGCAAGGAGCCTGATACAGGACTTGATCCCAGGACCTGAGCCAAAGGCAGATGCTTAATCGACTGAGCCACCCAGTCTTCCCAAAACAACTCATTCTAATTCAGTTATTTTCGACCTCACCTCTAAGAAGCAGCAAAGATTTGGCAGGAATTATCATTTTAGTTAATATTTATTGAGAACTAAGTGGCAAGAACAAACACGTTCTACAGCTGAAGCACAGGGAAGCAACTAATACTTGTTGAGCACCTCCAATGTGAAGTTCTGGCTAGAACCTTTCCCAACATCATCATTTTCAAGGCTCCACAGTAGTCTTGCAAGATGGGCAACAGGATCCCCATTTCACAGGTGAAGAAGCACAGGCTCAGGAACATTAAATAATTTGTCAAAGGACAGGAAGCAAGAAATTAGAAGAGTTAGGCTTCAACCCAGACTCACTGTACTCTTCTTGCTCCATCATATCCACACTGAAGTGGAAGAATCAGAACAAAAGCTCGGTCCTTTGGCTCCTTGACTCTCTTGTCCATTAGATGACTCCACAGGAGTCTAAGTGGGAAGCTTCTAATGGTCTGTTTGCCAAAGTAATGGCTTCTAGACAACCAAGCCAAGCTGGGACAGAGGGACCTCACATTTCTCAGCATTGACAATCATAGCAAGCTGCCATTCCCCCAACCAAGAGAGCTTCTTCTTGCTTGAGATGACAAGCCTTTCACCCTGTGACTATTTCCTCTTTTAGGAATGCCAGCAGAGACCACCACTGCCATTTGCTCCATGATCATGGGAGGAGTGTTTGAGAAATTTCCTAAACTGAAAGTGTGTTTTGCACATGGAGGTAAGGCACTGTCTGCGTTACTCAGCTCAATCTACCATAACAAAATACCATAGATTCAGTGGCTTAAACAACAGAACTTCATTTTTACACAGTTCTGGATGCTAGAAGTGCAAGATCAAAGTGCCTGCAGTATTAATTTCTGGTGATTCCTATCTTCCTGGATTGTAGAAGTTTACTTTCTTACTATGCACAGGACATGTCCTTTTGGATGGGTAGAGAGATAATCCTAAGGAACAGGAGCTGATCTAAGGGAATCAGCCAGCCATGTGGAGTATCTGGGATTTCCCTGGTGTATATAATGGCTCTCTGGCGATACACACTCTGTGTTGAAGGCTGGGGAGGATCTCCTGTACAAGCAAATCTAATCCCAAATCTCACTGTCCCTCTCCTTTCTCCTATCAAAGTTCCACCTTATAACTTCATTTAACCTTAAATTACCTCCTTAATTACCCTTGTCTCCAAATACAGTTAGATTGGGGGTTAGAGCTTCAACATAAAAATTTTAGAGAGACCCCATAATTCAGTCCATAACATGCCTGCAGCCATCATTCTAGTCATAAAGTATATGATGGTTGGGAACTAAATTCCATTTTTGTGGACAAGGTTAGTTTGGTTGGCATAGTTTTTGTTTAAATCCCTCTAGTCAGACTACAAGCTCTCCAGTTTGCAATAGTTCCTACCATTCTCTATTATTTACAAATAGACTTATTTTATTCATTTATATTTCCTGCTTGGTCCCTGCAGGTAATTGAGTTTCTGACTCTTGGGCACACACACATACCACAACGACCACTACTTTTGATGGTTGCATGCATGGCAATACATTTTATGGACATGCCATCATTATGTAGATATTTCCCAGTTCATAGGCTGTCTCTGTATTTTGCTATTATAAGCACACTACATTTGAAAACCTTGACCACATATCTTTACACACATGTATTCTTTCTTTAGGATAAATTCCTCAAACATGAATTTATAGATGAGTTCGTATCATTAGTTCTGTCATCTCCCAGCATTTGGGACACAATAAATCCTTTGTAAATACTGGACTACAGTAACTCCTCTTTGTATATACCATGAGGATTGAAAAATAACCTTTTCAACTGACACTCGCCCCTCACTAATGGGTTTTACTTGCAGGAGGTGCCTTCCCTTTCACAGTTGGAAGAATTTCCCATGGATTCAACATGCGCCCAGATCTGTGTGCCCAGGACAATCCAACCAACCCAAAGAAATACCTTGGTTCCTTTTACACAGACTCCTTGGTTCATGATCCTCTGGCACTCAAGCTGTTAACAGATGTCATAGGAAAGGTAAGTTGAGTCTACCACGTGCATGGCATATGGGGAGCAAAGTGTAGGATCAGCAACCAGGTTCATGGCCTCTCTCCAAAAAGGGGATGTAGGAAAAGGCATTAGAAGAAAGAAGAGAGACAGTGAGATTTAGGATTAGATTTGCTTGTACAAGAGATCCCTCTCCAGACCCTCCTTCAACACAGTGTGTATTATCAGAGAACCATTATATACACCCAGGGAGATCCCAGATAATCCACATGGCTAGGTAATTCCCTTATGTCAGCTCTTTCCCTTAAGGTCATCTTTGTAGTCACCCAAAATGATAAGTTGCAATACGGTAAACAGGAAAAGAGATACCAGTTTTGAAATCAAACTGAACTGTGTTAAAATCTTGGCTCTACCTCTTACTAATTGGGTAAATTATGAACCCAACTGTCTTCAACCACTAAATGAAAATTGGAACATTAAAGAAGGAGGAGGGGCACCTGGGTGGCTCAGTGGGTTAAAGCCTCTGCCTTTGGCTTAGGTCATGATCCCAGGGTCCTGGGATCAAGCCCCACATCAGGCTCTCTGCTCAGCAGGGAGCCTGCTTCCCCCTCTCTCTCGGCCTGCCTCTCTGCCTGCTTGTCATCTCTGTCTGTCAAATAAATAAATAAAATCTTTAAAAAAAAATAAAGAAGGAGGAAATGACACTTGACAGGGAGGCAGGGGAAGATGATGAAGGGTCTGTATACCACCTGAAAGTTTTTTCTGGAATAATACGGTACAGCCTTCATTTTGAAAACAATTCCCTCATTTAGTTCAAAAAAACCAACATGGTATTACTTTAAACTTCACGAGTCTTTCCTTTGTTGTCATCTGCTCATAGATCTCCTTGTTGGTGGCATTTCTACTTTTAAGTATTTTTTGAAAATGCAGACTCTACAAGTTACACAATTTTTAGGGCAAAGTCCAGTTTGAATCATTGAAAAGTCTGAAATATATACTATTTCAATGCCCTCATATTATTTACAAATATCTATAGAAAGTTTCCAAATTTTCTAAGGAAAAAAAAAAACCTTGAGGATTTCTTTAAAAATGTGAACATATTTAAATATTTGCAATGTGGTGCTTAGATTGAGAGTAGACTCTAAGGCATTTAAAATTTGTCTAGCAGAAAAAGAAGTCCATCATTGCAAAGCTGCAAGAATTTCTCCATCTCCAGAATGGAGACTTCATCTTACTTTAAAGCTGACTGTTTTTCTGGCTTAAGAAACTCACTAGAATATAAATGTTAAACATTCTGGTTTGGTAATAAATTATATAGTTGAGCTGTGCTTCTGGGTCTTCTAGCTTTTATGTTGTTCCTGCAAAAATGGGTGCTTAGCAGTGGGTTACGAATGTTGATGATTATTGGTTTGGACACTGGAGTGATGGAGAGGAAATCACAAAAAGGAAAAACTGGAAGAGAGACTGTGAGTTCTGGACTTTGAGCAATGGAGAAGGGGGTGTGAGGAAGTGGCATGGAATTGGGGTAAGAGTCATTCTGATAACCTTCCATCAAACCTAGTACCCCCGGTATTCTGAGAAATGGTAAAATCAGGAGATAATACCCCTGGCAAATATAACACCCATCTTATGAGGGATACCTACCATTAGCAGTGAGGGATACTACCAGCATCAAACAGAATTCAGGGAAATACATATTGCCAGGGATTCAGAGCAAAAGAGGAAGAACATGGCAAATGCTTTGTGGTAACTAGCAGATGGACTAGTTAGTGAGCTCCTGTGAGCACACCCCTTTTAGAAACACTGAGAGGGCACTTTGCAAAGTTAGTGGTGCTCAGAATTTGCATTCAAACTATGAAAGCTTGAGCTATTATAATTTGGGCATCAAAAGCAAATGCAACCTCATTTTATGTGACCTCATTATATGGTGAATCCAGGACACAGAAGTAATACATATATTAATAGTTTGGATTCTCTCTAAAATATTAATGCTTCTTTGTTCTTGTTATAGCCACATTAACAAATTCTCTCAAAAACAATCCCTAAACTAAAATGGCTGAGGAAAGTCCCAGCATGACACTCAGACAAGACAGAATCATTAGAGGTATAAAAGGGAGGTCTTCTGGAGGGAAAAAATGGAACTGATGTCTTATTTCATGGGTTTGTGAGTTTGAAAGGATGACTACCAGGCATTCAAATTCAACAGATGCATTGATGCTATTAGGAACAAATAAGCAGTATGTACATAGAAAATTAAGCAAATGAAAGAAAAGGAAATAATTAGCTCCAAGAAAAAAAAACACCCATATGAGGGCAGATAATCATTGTACATTACTTGACTCAGCAATGAACAATATTTATAGTCATAATAGTGTAAATACTAAGTACTAGTTTACATGAAAATTCTAATTCAATTGGGAAAATGGAGGAGAGAAATTGGGGTACCAAAGAAATTCTCAAAGACCATAATGAGAAGTCAGTAAATGCTCTCTAAAGCTAATAAATCAAGAAGAGGAATAAGGTAATTATATAGAACAATAAAGGTAATTATCAGAAGATGCAAGTTAAAATGGTGAAAGTGGCTGAGTTGAAGGATAAGAGTTAGGAACATAGGCACAGGATTGTTTTTAATGAGAAAGACATTTTAGTGATATTTGATTATTTAGCTATGTATAGGCATTACTTTGATAAATAAAAATTTATATAATACCTTAGGAGTAAATAAATTCAAAGAGTATACAGAGAAAAATAAATAGAATAATAACCATTTAGAGAAAAAAATATATATTTATACCAAAACTATTTATTGAGCCCCTACTAATTCCAAAACACTGAGCTAAATGGAGGACTTAAATTACCAAGTCTCTGACAGGTATGAGTTGATATCTCATTGTAGTTTTGATTTGAATTTCCCTGATGATCAGTGATATTAAGCATTTTTTCATGTGTCTGTTGGCCATCTGGATGTCTTCTTTGGAAAAATGTCTAATCATGTCCTCTGCCCATTTTTTAATTGGATTGCTCATTTTGGGGGTGTTGAGTTTTATAAGTGCTTTGTATATTTTGGATAATAACCATTTATCGGATATGCCATTTGCAAATACCTTCTCCCATTCCATAGGTTACCTTTTAGTTTTGTTGACTGTTTCCTTCACTGTGCAGAAGCAGCTTTTATTTTTTTTTTTAGAAGCTTATATTTTGATATAGTCCCAGCAGTTTATTTTTCGTTCCTTTCCCTTGCCTCAGGAGACATATCTAGAAAAAAGTTGCTATGGAGGGTGAGGGCACCTGGCTGGCTCAGTTGATAAAGCATGTGACTCTTGATCTTGGAGTCATAAGTCCAAGCCCCACACTGGGCATGGAACCTACTTTAAGAAATTAACTTAATTTAATTTAATTTAAAAGTTGCTATAGCCAGTATCAAAGAAGTTACTACCTGTGTTCTCTAGGATTTATGTGGCTTCAGGTCTCCCATTTATGTCTTTAATCCATTTTGAGTTTATTTTTGTGTATGGTGTAAGAAAGTGGTCCAGTTTCATTCTTTTGCATCTTGCTGTCCAGTTTTCCCAACACCGTTTGTTGAGGACTGTCTTTTTCACACTGGATATTCTTTCTTACTTTTTAATCAGCCATATAGTTGTAAGTTCATTTCTGGGTTTTTCTATTCTGTTCTGTCGATCTATGTGTCTACTTTTATGCCAATACCATACTGTTCTGATCACTACACCTTTGCAATATACCTTAAAGTCCAGAAATTGTGATGCCTCCAGCTTTGCTTCTCTTTTTCAAGGTGGCTTTGGCGATTCAGGATCTTTTGTGATTCCATACAAATCTTAGGATTGTTCGTTCTGGTTCTGTGGAAAATGCTGTTGGTAATTTGATAGGGGTTGCATTAAATGTGTAGATTGCTTTGGGAAGTATAGACATTTTAATAATACTTGTTCTTCCAATCCACGAAAAGTGGAAAGACATTGTTGTGTCATCTTCAGTTTCTTTCATCATTGTTCTATAGTTTTCAGAGTACCCATCTTTCACCTTTTGGGTTAGGTCTATTCCTAGGTATCTTATTGTTTGGGGTACAATTATAAAGGAGATTGATTCCTTAATTTCTCTTTCTGCTGCTTCATTATTATTGCATAGAAACCCAACAGATTTCTATACATTGATTTTGTAACCTGTGACTTTACTGAATTTGTGTATCAGTCCTAGAAATTTTTTGGTGGAGTCTCTCAGGTTCTCTATATACAGTATCGTGTCATCTGCAAAAATTGAAAGTTTTACTTCTCCCTTGCTGATTTGGATGCCTTTTATTTCTTTGAATTGTCCAATTGCTGTGACTAGGACTTCTAGTACTATGTTAAATAACTGTGGTGAAAGTAGACATCCCTGTCTCGTTTCTAATAATAAAGGAAAAGATCTCAGTTTTTCCGCAATGAGGATGATGTTAGCTGTGGGTTTTTCATATATGGCCTTTATTATGTTGAAGTATGTTTCCTCTAAATCTACTTTGTTGAGTGAGGGTTTTTATCATGAATGGATGTTGTACTTCATCAAATGCTTTTTCTACAGCTATTGAAATGATCACACAGTTCTTATCCTTCCTCTTACTGATGTGCTGTATCACACTGACTGATTTGTGAATATTGAACCACATTTGCATGCCAAGAATAAATCCGATTGGATCATGGTGAATGATTTTTTTTTAATGTGTTGTTGGATTTAGTTTGCTAGTATTTCATTGAGAATTTGTGCATCTATGTTCATCAGGGATATTCGCTTGTAGTTCTCTTTTTCAGTGGTGTCCTTTTCTGGTTTTGGTATCAGGATACTGTTGGCTTCATAAAATGAATTTGGAAGTTTTCCTTCCTTTTCTATTTTTGGAATAGTTTGAGAAGAATAGGTATTAGCTGTTCTTTAGATGTTTGGTAGAATTCCTGTGAAGCCATATGGCTCTGGACTTTTGTTTTGGGGGGAATTTTTTGATTATTGATTCAATATTTTTGCTGGTTATCAGTCTGTTCAAGTTTTCT